CAAGAGAGAGATATAGAAATATATATGTCACCAAGATAATGCGCAATTGCATAAAAGAACAACAAGAAACAAGAAGAATGCTGAGACAAGTATAATACAAAAGTAGTAAGGGGTGTCACGCATACATTCTACAAACAAACCGTATAAGCTTTTTGTTAATCAATGCAATATTAATTAATAATTATTTTTAAAAATTATGGATCGTAAATGACCTCCCTGGAGCCAACCACCGCATATGCGACACTAATTAGAAGATATTATTGCGGCCCTGAAAGGTTGAATCGGGAGATTGATCATGAAAATTGATATTATAAAATTTATATAAGACTTTCCATTCGATGCAGATTTCTGGTGTTTGTTTTGTACACCTCTTTGCCTTGATATAACCCATGAAAAGTGTGGTGCAGTTAGGTCGAGGTGACGGACATTTCTTAGATATAGATATGTTTTCAAAATTTTCGTGGAGCCGCGCAATGGCTGGCTATGTGTGCAGTTGTTCATCCTTACTAACCTAAACGATATTGAAGTGCATAAGTGCTTCGGCAGTTTGTGGGTAAAAAAATTCATTAATATTTTTTGAATTAACACATTTTCCATGGACAGTTACTTTCACCGGGTTTTCTTTTCAACTAATACGCATTTGATGAAATGTTCGCACACACAGTGACTCTTCTGGTTGAAGTTCCGTCTAAGTGGTGTCTTTCTAGATTTAATTCACTCCATATACGTCAATTTTGCTTTTTCCTTTTCGTTTAGATCAACTAGGCCTCATCAGACATCAAAAGGCCAATTTATTTAATTAGTTATTCGGAATTTATGGTCGGTCGTTGTGTTAGTTAGTTGGCAGTCAAAACTTTTGGATTTGCCTTGAATTTGCGATGCCACCCCGCTATTGTTTTTTGACACGAAATCGAATCTTGAGTAGGAGTCTTCTTGCGATACTTTCGGCATACTTTTTACAAGGACGGAATCGACGAACTACAAGAGCATCGGTACGCTGCACTATCCAAACCCTTTTTCGTTTCAGTATTAGGTTTTAAAAACTTAAATACCAACTTGCTTGAAAGTTTTTGAGGCTGAAGGAATAAAAATACTGGTTTTTGGCACGAAATACATTTTTTTATTCATATATAATCTCATATTCAATACACTTACTCTAATTGATCAGAATATGACTTCAGCGACTCCGGCAAGATCCGTCTACGGCTGTATAGCTTCTTCTTCGAGCGAAAAACGCTTTCCCGAAAAAAAGTAAGTATGTATCACACGGAAAAGTAATTATGGTTTGTTTTTGTAGCACGATTCTGTGCCCCCCTATGCTTAGAGGCCTATGGTGGTAGGTTTTATTCCACAACTTCTATTTGGCGCGTTGGGTATATTAATGAAAGTGGCAAAAATCGTATGAAATGTAAAATGTTAGATATAAATAGTGGTTAGTTTTTTATAGCAAATGTTTATTTTAGACCTGTGTGTGTTGTTTAAAGGACTAATATGTTGTATTTTTTCGGAGTTGGTAATTGAGCATTGTTACTATGATTTATCTCAGTTTGCTTTCGCCAATTTCATAATGAATAGACCTTATCCGGAAAACGTTTTGCAAATCGACAGTTTTCTTACAGATAATGGTTCGGTTCTGGCAGCATCGCTTCTTCTACGTTCAATATTCGGTCAAATATTGCCTAGCAGATAGTCTGGTGGTTCGGAGACATGGTCGGCTTAGCAACATGTTTACTTAGTGGATAACGGCATCCTCAAGTCGATACGTGCAGACGCACGATACCATGATAAGGGTTTTAAATGTATTAGCTTCTTAATTAATATATGTTTTTCTTTTTTCAAATTGAAATTAATTACACGCGAAGCATTGCATTACAGAATAGATTTCATTAATTTTCTTTTAATTTTTCTGTTTTCCACATTTCTTTGTAGATAACAGCGGTAAAAATGTTACTATTTTTAGTAGGTTTGCTCTCTCATTTCCGTGACAGATAGTTGGGCATTTCTTTGTCTCTGTGAATTCTCCTATTGCTACTGGTAGAGCGAAATATCGAAAAATCTCCGAAAGTTTATTCTTCAAGCATTGTTTTTAAGACTGTCTAAATTGAAATTGACACTTTTATGGTTTGCTAGTATTTATATAGCGGTTTTTAAATATATATTGTTCTTCACTTAGTTTACAGGCTGCTGCGTTTTTTAAGAAAAATGCTGAAACGACGAGTGAGTGCGCGATCCACGGCTTCGGCATTCAACTATTTGTGTTCGTTTCTTTCAGTTCCCGATATCAGCCCTATTGTAAGAAACCCTTCAAAATAGTTAGTTTATTTTGTGAGTTATTCTGTGCTTGAACCTCTAAGAAAAGTCATCACAGTGAGGTGAAAACAAATCGTGCCGTAAACAGCTATGTGTCGATAAGATTACATGCAAAATAAAAATGAATAGCAATAAAAAGTAAGTAATTGTCGCAAATTATAAATTTTCATGTGATTGTTCGGCTACTCTGGTTTAGCGAAACAACGAAGGGAAAAGACATCAAATTTTCAAAGAAACATTAAACTTTTGTAATTAATGTTTTGTATTTCTTTCCTTTTCAATTAGTGTAATAGGGCAGTGGCAATTCTGTAGAGGATGTATTCCTATTCATCGTTAAATCACTACCACTACAATCCTTGGCAATAAGCAATGGAGTAAAATTGTTCAACTTGGCTTTTCCAAATGTAAATAACGATAAATTATATGCTTAGACCTTTTTAAATAAATATTTTTTTTTAACATTTGAGGACTCAATTCTAAGTCAGGGTTGAACAAAATTACATAGAAGATTCCGATGGGGTTAATGATAAAGTTGAAAGGAATGGTGAAATTGATAATAAATACCCAAAACTTAAACATAAAGGTGCAGAAAAATGTTGAACAATGTATACAATGGTCAAAGCAGAAAAATGTCGATTTCATACAACGTATTGTATTGACTGAAGAAGCCATCAAATGTAATCTTAGTATTCCAACGAAACAAACGACGATTAATCAATTTTTAATTAGGTATAGAAACTTATATTACTGATATAAACATTTTTTAATCTCATTTTCTTTTTAAGCACATTACGTTCTTTAGGGTAACATGCATAAGCGCTTTGAATTGTTCCTTTTTGGTTTTTTATTCTTTTACACATAATTCAATAAATAATGTATTAAACAAAAATTCTCGGATTTTTTACTCATTTTTATTGAAAAATATACCTCGCTGAGTGAGTACTCAAATTAATGAAAAATTCGATAAAGCGAACCAGTCTGACAATTAATGTGTTCGTTATTTCGAAATACAGCTGTATAATAATTTTATTTACTTTTAGGCTTACAAAATGTTGTTTTATTTCACTATTTTCATCGCTTCTTTACTATTTTAAAAATCTATCGTATCTACATAAATGTGTGTGTTATATGATATCGGTTGTTTTAAATGTATCACTCAATGAATGTGCATGTTTCTTAATACTATAAAAAAGGTCTTAAACTAGCTAAATATGTTTGTATTGTTAAATGTTGAATGCATGGGTATTGCATGCATACGTTTCATTTGTGTTTGTCTTATATTGTCTCGCATTGTATGTGGTATTGTAATAGCCAGGATTACATATTTTCGAGTGAAGAATTTAGTAAATCTTTAAGAATGCTATTATTACATATTACATATATTGTACATATGTATATTTATATATATACATTCATCCATTTCTAGCTTCCCTCCTTTTTTTTAAGAAAAAAACACAGCAAATTCAAATTTAATTGGGAATGCTTACTATCATTCGAAAGAACATTCTTTGGCAGTTGTTTTTTGAAGATTATCGCTTTCAAATGTTGGCCGCGGCTACGTCTCAGATTGTCCATCCGTTGAGTCCAATTTTCGATTACTCGTTCGAGCATTGAGACTGGTAACTGGCGAATGACACACGCGATGTTTTGCTCCAAGGCCTTAATCGAAGCGGGATTGACTGCATCGACTTTTGACTTTATATATCTCCACAGGAAAACGTCTAACGATGTGATATCACACGATCTTGGCGACCAATCGACCGGCTAAAAATGTGAAACTACCTCCTAACCGAAGTGTTCTCTCAATAAATCCATTGATTGATGCTATGTGTGGGAAGTGGAGTCGTCTTGTTGAGACCAAATTTCGCCGAGATCACGAGCTTCCATTTCGGACATCAAATAGTCGGTTATCATGGCGCAATAAAGGTGGCCAATGACGGTCACGTTCTTATCGGCGTCAGTTTTGAAGAAATATGGACCGATAATTTCACCGGCCCACAAACCATACCAAACCGTTGTTTTTTCTGGATGAATTGGCAGCTCTTGAATCTCCTCAGGTTGCTCTTCGTCCAAAATGTGGCAATTTTGCTTGTTTACGTACCCATTGAGCCAGAAATGGGCCTCATCGCTGAACAACATTTGGCTAGAAAACGTGGGATCTTCTTGGAACTTTTAGCCCATAGAGCGAAAGTATGTCGCTTGGGAAGGTTGAGCGGTTTCAGTTCCTTCACAAGCTGTATTTTGTATGTCCCAAGTCGTTCCATACGTCAGTCCGAGTTGCTGCGTACGGCGCGAATCGCCTCTCCACGGTCTCCATGGACACTCTCAGCTACGGCAGCTATATTTTCTTCACTGCTTACTGAATGAAGTGGTCTATTCGGTCGAATATTATCCAATAATGAAAGCTGGGTCTCAAGATGAGTGGTGGTGCTGCGAATAGTATGCTCCGTAGGCCGATTATGTTGCCCATTAGTTTAGCGAAGTGCGCGAAACACATTCTTTACAGAAGGTGAATTTTCGTAATAAAGTTGAACGTAACGTAAACGTTCAGGCGCAAGTCTTTCTATAATGAGATGCCGAAGAACACCGAAGAAAATTATTATGACAACTTGACACGACTCATACGTGATCTGTCCAAAAAAGGCTATTGAAAAAAGTACCTCTACTTGGATCACCTGTTATAATAAAATAACTGAGTTATTGAAGCATAAATATCTTTCTATTCGCAGATGTAATAAATACATGCATGCATACTGTTTAATAAAAGGCAGGACTAAGCTTAAAAACACGTCTGTTTATTGCGGCGAATCAAAGAATAAGAGAGCTCATATTGGAATAGTACAATAGTTAAAGCAAATAACTGAAGTAGAAAATAATATGAAATAAAAATAGAAAATAAGTCTTAACACTAGAACTAGCGACGATTGACGTATACGTACTTCTAGAGGAGGGGTCAAAATGACTTGTTTCTTAAATTACTAAAAGACATATAAGAAAATACAGCAATTTTTAAGTTTTTATATTATATACTTTGTAATTTTATGAACAAAACTTGAATATAATCTGAATAATAATAGTAATATAATAGCAGTAATTTTTTAAATAATTATGCATAAGAGTCAAAAACATTTTTTGCAAGTTACAGATATTATAGCAGAACATTTACCACAGGCTCATTTATGGCATATACCACAAATGTTGTTCGTTTTATTATTAGTGCACTGTGCTTTTTGACACCTTTTACGTTTCATCGAAATATGTGTCTAGTTTTGTGACGATATAGATGATGATATGCCTTTTACTTGATCTGTGGATCAACCGGTCAATTCTTTGTAGTAAATTGCAAGTTCTTCGGATAAATGGAATAAAAAGTCTATTCTTGAAATTATTCCGGCAAAATCTAAAATATTGTAAAACACTTGTAATGGCCATCTTTGGGATCCAGCTATTTCCGAGTATATTTCCGAGCCATTTGATTCGTAACATCTACGCCAAATTTATTACTGTTCTAAGATGTAATCGTTCCAGGTAAACGTTTATCATCTTTTTGAATTTACACTGACTTATGTTTTGAACTGAGCACTTATACTTTTTTATTGGGGTTACTCTTATATATGATCAGAGTATATTTTTCTGTTTTATAAAGTACTGTCGAGAAACGAGACATGTTATCCTTTTTTTTCTTAGTAGGGAAATGCATTTACAACATATTTACTTTTTACATCCGACGCCAACCAGAATTTTATATATAACTTTTTTTTGCTTCGTATGCACCACGAGTATATATAAATATAAACGCATTCACTCTGCTACAGATACGTCCAGTCATGGTTATTCAGAATTCGATGAGCATCTGCTTCAGTGCAATTTTGTATAAGTCTCATAACAACACTATTGCGAAGTATCAAAGAAAATGCTGTTCTTACACTACTTTCATAATAGGTCTTTTCGCGTATGCCGTCGGCCTGCATTTCTTTGAAAATGTTGAGTACTGATAATCTTCGGTGTGAGCTCTTTCAGTTTTTCCACATAGTGCCGTCAACAGATTTTCAGTATCTTGATCGATTTCAGACATTTCAAATCATCTATCACTTTTACTTTCAAATTAGAAAAACTTGGACTCTTTACTTTTTCTACGCAAACGTCGAAGTATTTCCTTTCACTGTCTGTATCGGATGACTCGCTTGGACTTCGTGTTTAATGGAAGGAAATATGTATTAAAGAATAATACTCTTTATGATCTAAAACAGTCCGCGATAGTATATGTCTATCTTTTAAGATTAACTCACAAAACCGTTTTTATGGTACTATTGTCGAATATATTGTTTAGTTGTATCACATAATAATATTAATTTATTCAAATAAATTGTTGTTGTTAGAGTACTTCATTGTGAATAAAATTGTCTTTGACATAACTTATATTACAAAAACTTTAAAATTACAATGATAAATAACTCGAATCAAACCAACTCGCTCTCTGCGCTGGCCGGCGCGGCGGGAGAGAGCGGTACTTGCGGGCAAGCCGGGAGGGGGTGCTGTCAACGAGATACCATGCGCGCGAGTGAGTCGGCTCCTACTGACGGTTGAATGCAGCGCTAATTGTTTATGCGATATATTATCATGTAATATTACTTTTTAAACACAGTTTCATTTTGTAGTTGTTTCTATATAGTAGTACTTTATTTTTTTTAGGATAGTATTTAGTTCCATACCACTTTTTGTTTCATGTAGATTATTATTTTAAGATGTGTTTTTTTAAAGTAAGTATTGTTTGTTTATAGTATTTAGTTTCTAATATTTTTTTTTTTGTGGTACATAATACCTGTAGGTATCCTAAATAGGTGTCGCCTACTTATTATTCTTATTAGATTGGTTTAGTTATAACGTATTTGTTTCTAATTTTTTTTTGCTTTAGATAAACCTGTAAATAGGAGTGGTCTACCTATTTATTCTCATTAGATTAGGTTAAGTTTAAGCATATTAGTTTACCTTATTTTCATTTACGGTTGTTCTTTTGACATAATCGTTAAAATAAAGTATTAGGTTCCTATTATTTATTTTATCTTACGTTTCTTTTTTTTATTACGAGATACGCTTAGTTAAGTTTTCATTTTCTCGTTTTTTCTTCATCATATAATGCGAGAAACAACTCAGCTTTCTCGCAGATGTACAGCAAAGCGGCTGCGAGTTTGTGCGCAGCTATGAAACTGAGGATGAAATATGCACAGGTTGGCTACACAACGAGCAATTACTGAACAAACGTGCAAGGGAATCAAGCGTTGAACGTTCGCAGCGTTTAGCCTCACAAAATTTCGAACTTTGGCGAACGGCAACGGGAATCGAGTGCTGATCATTCTCAACATTGGCTTCACAGAATGCCCGAACATTGGCTAACCGCGATCGAGAATCAAGCGCTGAACGATCCATCGATTAGCACAGCAAATGCCGATCAACTAGGATAACTCGCAGACAACATAATTTTTAAATGCTGCTTTTGCTTATGATTGTACCGTTGGACTATTCTGAGTAAATGTATTGATATTGGTAAATGGATAAAATATGCAAGTTATGCAAGCAAAAAATGGGCAGCTGAAACTCATGGACTGTGTTTAGTGGAACTGATATCGGCTCACATCCATCATCTCAAGCATTCTCTTAATCACTCAAGACAATAATACATTATTTTCAGATGATTATTTGGTTGCAAAAGAATTCGTGAGGGAAATTTTTATGCCATTTTAAAGTCAAGGGCAAGTTTATCTTTAATCGGTGACTTACTTCAGCTGTAGGGGCAACCCGCAATTCCTGCAAATATATTTGT